TAAATAATTTTGATACTCTACAAATTTAAATGTAAAAGCACATATTAAAGCTTATATTTTAAATATAATAAGCTAAAATATATAATTTCAAATATACATAAATATAGAGAGTAAAAGTATGCTGAATTTTACCTGGTCCCTGTGCCAAAAAGAATCCCCTCATGTCCATAAACTCATTATCATAACCGTGCCATCCGTGTTGCCAGCCCCCCGCCTCCTCCGTGCCGTTATTCCAGAAGGGCAGTTTGGCTTTATTCTGTAAAGACAGGCAGACGTGCAGAGCTTAGCATATCAGGCAAGCACACAAGAGCAAGACTGTTGTTTTTGGCCTTTATATGCAAGACTGAATCATGACTGAAGTAATTCCTGTCAGCGGTCTTATTGGAAAAGTACAAAGCAACATATTAAATGGATCACAAGTAGATTTGGGGAAATTTCAACACCCTGCTGGGACGGATGGTGACGTTTTAATAGTGCAGATAAGGACAGGTAGACTCAGCATATTGTTAAAGCTTTAAATAAATAAAATTATAGCATCTATATAGACATCTAGATTTGATTAGATTGTTATACTCATAAAACAACCCCATAAACAACCATGAGGACATTTAGGACAGATTGTGTAGAGAATAACCTCAGTGATAAACCATCCGGGCTCTGCGATGAGCGTCAGCGTCGAGACGAACCTCCCGTTCTTGTAGTGGAAGCGGTCTGGGATCTCTTGTTTCTTATAAACATTCATGTTGTCCACTGTGCTCAGGTTTTGATATATCTGAATGAACAAATACACACATTTTAAGTTTGAGCCACTGAAGTTCACATTTCATCCCAAAACCTAAGCACAAGGCATTAAACTTCTGTTTTACATTTTGTATTACCCATTATTTTCAATTGTGATTCTCATCAGATTTAAAATGAATTATTATATTAATTGTATAATTCTATTGTTATTATTTTATAAATTCAATTATTAGTGCATGTTATTCCAAAGAAAAACTTGTTTGTCATAATATTTCATCAAAATGTAATAACTTATTCTACCTCTTTTCACCTACGTATTATTATAATTGTATTATATTATCATTTTATTTTATACATTTAATGCAGTTCAACATATACCACTATGCATAAATATTTTACTATTTAAATAAAATTCTCTTTCTTTTCACAGTATAGTAATGAGAACAAGATATTTTGAGTTTTGTGAAGAAAATTTCATAATGTAAAAATGCTATATATACAAAATACACACACAAAACACAGGCCAGTACATCAAAGTTGAAGCATACTTTACATACTGAAATATCGCTAAAGTTAAAGTTTAAATCTAAATGGGGCCGACAGCAGGTCAAAGTACACTGCTGCCTTTTTCACATCGATGAACTCTGATGCTAAGCGTATTTCCCCCTCAAAATAGCAGATGGAAAATAAGAGAGGGTTGAGTTTGGAGCTGTGGCCTTGCTGTAAACACAAGTCTCATGGAAAACATGCAGAAATGGAACGAGAACAGAGACAGGTTGAGCTCACCTCTTCAAACTTGTCCTGTTTGGGCCACAGACTGACCACCGGCCCCCTGTCCATCATTTTAATGATGTGCGACATGTCAATGTACTTGTCCAGTTCAATGACTTTCTCCATCCACTTGAGGTCCGTCATGCCATGATCAGAGAACAGGACCACGTTTATATCATCTCTCATATTCTTCTCCTGACAAATAAATAAATTAGGGCTGTCAAATCGATTAATGGCGATTAATCGTATTCATGTAGAACGATATACCGGTAAAGGTATCGCGATACCCTGCTTTTAAAAATGCCACGATTCCTCATTTTACTAGTACTGGTACTTTAAGAAAGACAGCGTTTAAATAAGGGCCGTATTTTCTACCCGGACAGTTTATGTTTTTGTCGTGGTATCAGTTAAGTAGTAGTATCGTGATATTTTAGTCAGGTATCGTATCAAAGTCAAAATTTAGGTATTGTGACAACACCAATCCAAAATAAAAGTTTGTGTTTACATGATATGTGTGTGTGTGTACTGTGTATATTTATATGTATATATAAATACACACATACATGAATATATTTAAAGGAGTAGTTCACTTCCAGAACAAAAATTTACAGACAATGTACTCACCCCCTTGTCATCCAAGATGTTCATGTCTTAATTTCTTTACGACTGAAGAAAGAATGTTTTTTGAGGAAAACATTTCAGGATTTCTCTCCATATAATGGACTTCTGTGGTGCCCCTGAGTTTGAACTTCCAAAATGCAGTTTAAATGCAGCTTCAAAGGGCTCTAAACAAATCCTACAAAAAAGTCCTACATCGCTGCAGAAGTACCGACCAGTGGTGTAATGTAACGAAGTAATAATACTTCGTTACAGTACTTAAGTATTTTTTGGGAGTATCTGTACTTTACTTGCATTTTTATATTTCAGCCAACTTTTACTTCACTACATTTCCTAATTAAAATGTATACTTTTACTCTGATACATTTCCCCGAAGCATATTCATTACTTACTACAAAATAGTCAGAAGTCAGAAGAACACGGACTGCAGGAAAGCAGTTTTGATGTGCGATCTGATAGGACGATTTTGAAGTTGGAGGAGAAAATGAGATGGGAGTTTTTCCGACATACCCTAACTGTCATGAACCAGAATACACAGAGTTCACGCAGAGCTAGACAAGACGTGCGTTTGAGCGTAAAAAGTATATAAATTGTAAATTTTTGTTTAGAAAATAACCGATCGTTTCGCTAGATAAGACCCTTCTCCCTCGACTGGGATCGTTTAGAGCCCTTTGAAGCTGCATTTAAACTGCAATTTGGAAGTTCAAACTCGGGGGCACCATAGAAGTCCATTATATGGAGAGAAATCCTGAAATGTTTTCCTCAAAAAACATCATTTCTTTACGACTGAAGACAGAAAGACATGAACATCTTAAATGACAAAGGGGTGAGTACATTATCTGTAAATCTTTGTTCTGGAAGTGAACTACTCCTTTAAGAAGCATATGATTTATATTATACATAAATATATATTACATTTCTTAAATATATACATGTATGTGTGTATTTATATATCCATATAAATATACACATTACATAGACATATATTATGTAAACACAAACTTTTATTTTGGATGCGATTAATCGCGATTAGTCGGTTTGACAGCCCTAAAATAAATACAAAATGTGTTTTAGATAGCCAGGTGGAACAGACAGCGAGTATTGTTTTTTTCTCTCTCTTTCTTTCACCCATGTAAAAATACCTTGATTTTCTGGTTGAGGATCTGGAAAGCCTGGTCCAGTGAGCGAATAGCGCGCTGTATTTCCGGAGAGCACGGCCCAAAGTGATGTCCTTCCACATCAATCTTCTCGTAATAAATACCAGCCATGTCTGCTTTATTGCTCCTGTTTGAAACATATCATTCAAATAAAATCATCAAATAATAACAAACACACTTAAAGGAACAGTTTACCCAAAAATAAATATAGATGATGTAGATGAGTTTGTTTCTTCATCAGAACAGATTAGGAGAAATATAGCATTACATCACTTGCGCACCAGTGATTTCCTTTTGTTAGATTGTTTTCTGGACTTAGTATGTTGGCCTTGAGCCCTCCTGAAGTTCTGTTTGCTTCATTGTGTTAATAAATTTCATTCTGTTTTGCATCTATAATGGTGTTGTGTTTAAGTTAGGAAAAGGGAAAACTTCCTCTTTTTTCACCACTTTCTTTATTACTCCTTCCCATCCTTAAGCTGAGGAGGAATGTAATATAAAATTTGACAATGTTATCTACTATATGTTCTTGATTGTATTGTGAATGATTGGTTAGAGCATGTTACTCCAAATATATATTTTTTTTGCCTACATAATCTTTCAACAAAATGTTATAACTTGCTTCCTCTTTTCTTTTCAACTGACATGACCTAGTTTGTGTTTGCTTTTGGCTAATTAGGCAGAAAAGCTAGAATTATCTGTGTTAATGATTTCTGAGCAGGCTTGCGGTCTTACTTTAACACATTAAGAGCGCTCTCCATGGAGTCGGTCAGGTTCTTCTCTGAAGGATTGTACACATATTCCTCACAGAATGTAGGTCTGACTCCAAGAATCGTCACTTCACAACCTGAACGGACAGAAACACTTTAGACCATGTGACCAGCGTTTATATGCATTTGAGAGAGATCAAAAAGGCTTTTGAAAGCTTGAACACTCCACTTGAAAACCTTGCAAGCTTTTTTTTAATGTCAAGTAGCAGTAGAAGTCTGGCATGGGAGGAAGCTCTGTGTGACCACGGGGTGAATTTAAAAATCCCTTTATTTATACTGTACACTATAGCGTTAGTAACATTTTAAAAGAAATTAATATTTTTATTCAGCAAGGATGCATTACATTTATCAAAAGTGACAGTGAAGACATTTATAATACATAATATATCAAATATTTCTATTGCAAATAAATGCTTTTCTTGTCAACTTTCTATTCAACAATCCTGAACTGTTTTCAACATAAGAAGAAATGTTTCTTGAGCAGTAAATCAGCATATTAGAAAGATTTCTGAAGGATCATGTGACACTGAAGACTGGAGTAATGATGCTGAAAATTCAGCTTTGATCACAGGAATAAATTACATTTTAAAATATATTCAAATACAAAACAGTTATTTTAAATTGCAATACTATTTCACTATATTACAGATTTTACTGAATTTTACTACTATTAAAACCTTTTTTTTTTTCATAAAATTGTGATACATAAGAAGTGACATCATTAGATCCCTTTCTACTACGCTGAAGCAAGTAAATAATCTCCATTTATCTTCCATCATCTCTTATTTTCTCAATTTCTACAAGCATTTGGTTCCAAAACCACATCAATTAGGGTATTTAGACATGGGATAAAAATCTCAAACAAAAATATATCAAATAATTAGAAATTGAAACAGCTCATATATTTATTTGAAGCTGACAAACAGCATTTTCAAAGTTTAAGCACTTCACATTTACTGACCAATTTATGAAAAATTACAAAACATTTTTACAATCGTTTTCCAGTCCCACATACTCCGATTATAACAAACCAGTTCAGACGTCCACTAACCTGGCCAGTAGTACATGTAGACTCTCTTTCCTAGTTTCTGCATGGTGACCCACAGCGGCTCTGATCCGTCCCACCACATGGGCAGACGGCTGTCTGAATTAGTTCCAATCAGGAACTCCTTCATGGTGTCTTTATCCCACATGTAATTCCCAGTCATCTGGTGCACCTCGCAGTAGCGTCCTGAAACATGAGGAGGAGTGCAGAATGAATATTTACAGCACACGAGGGTGGATTTTAATCAGCACGCCTCAGAGGTTCATTTGATTAAAGAGCTTCATTCATTTAATTACATTGCTCATATGTTGCTCTTTTAGCTTTAGCTCAGGAGACTCCACACAGCTTACAGATGTTTCAGTGTCTTTGGATAGCCTGTAAAAACAATGGATCATTTGTCCCCTCATGTAGCCTACTTCAGGCTCTGTGGAGTTAAAGGCACACAATGAAGATTAGATTATTTAAAATAAAACATAAGTAAGTTCAATAAATAACGTTAATAACAAACCCAGGAATGCTTCAGAAATATCAATACAATTTTTCCATCAAGCTGTCACAGCAAAATGACCTGCTCAGTGAGTGTCTTGACACCTGTAAACGATTAAAGATCTTTTCAACTTTTTTCTCAGGCCAAAATCATGAAAGTTCTGAGCTGTTTACTCAGATTTTTCTATTGGTGACAGAATGAGTTGGAATGAGTCAGCCTGATGAGTTTGAGCCTGCTGGCATTCACAATTATTGGGGGGGTAAATTTTTTTTTTGGAACGGTTAATCTCTCACCCCCTCATTTGTTTCTCCACTAGAAGTACGTAATGTATTCAAAATATGATCCAGATAATTTGTCATTTAGGATATTTTCAAAGAATGTATCTTTTTATCAACAGGTACTTCAGGATCTGATTGATAATATTAGCAATGGTTTTGTTCGCTGATAAACTTTTGACTGTTTCTGATATCAGATGACTCTCTCTATTAGGCCACAACTGCCCCTTTGTTTCTCCACTAGAAGTAGAGGCAGTTGTGGCCTCTTTTCCACCTTCAGGAACCACAACTGAGGTCCTTGAGCAAGGTACCGAACCCCCACTGGAGCAAATGGCTGCCCACTGTTCCGGGTGTGTGTTCACAGTGTGTGTGTGTGTGTGTGTGTGTGTGTGTGACTACTCACTGCTGTGTGTGTGCACTTGGATGGGTTAAATGTAGAGCACAAATTCTGAGTATGGGACACCACTCGTCACAACAATGGCAGAACACTCGTATTTTCTTTGTTATTCTTGATCTCTGTCAGGACTTCCTAAATGAAGAGCTTGTTACCTGGGCAAACAATGCAAATGCAGGAAAGAGGCATTGCGCTTATCCAAGAGTACAACAGACTCCTGTCAGAGTCTGAAGAACTAACGTAGTTCATTATGCAGATTGTCAGAGAGCACCAACATTTTTTTGCCAAACCAAAAGTTTCCAGGTCTCTGCAAGAGTACTGTGGTTGAAGGACTTGTCAGATCATCATAAATATCTAGATCAGATCTCAGTTTTGTTCGCAGCTCACTTTCTTCACTAGTACAGTAATTTCACTTTTTAACTTTCTGCTTCTGCGTCTGCAAGAACTTTGCGGCTTAAGGACATTGGATTGTCATCACAATCTAGATCTGATCACAAATTTTCAAAGATCAGTTCTCATCAGCAGTATTGTAATTTAAATTTTTTTATTTTAAGATTTTATTTTTGGCGTTTTATGCCTTTATTTCGATAGGACAGTAAGTGGACAGGAAGCGAAGTGGGGGGGATGGGATCAGGAAAGGTCTGCGAGCCGGGACTCGAACTCGGGACAGCTGAAGCGCAACGGCGCTACATGTCAGTCTAACAACATTGTTCTGTGTTCTCATTTTTAAGCTAATTCACACTTTACTAATGGTCCTGTATAATTATTAATTACATGCTGTTATGGTCATTAAGACCTGCAAAATTTGGTTTGTTTCCATGTCTCATGAAGGGGACTTGACTGGGCGGGTGAGAGCAGAAGATTTCAAAAGTCCAAAAATAAGGGCCACCCTATTCATCAGACATCATCTTTCAAACATGTGAATATGTTGAGCTTAGGAACTTTTTAGGCAGATTTTTAACGTTTTAGTTGGACTACCTAATGCTTTCAATGATGAAGCAGATGTTACATCAGCATCACACAATCCTTCGGAAATCATTCTAATATGCTGGTTTGCTGCTCAAGAAACATTCCTGATTATTATCAATGTTGAAAATATTTTGCTGCTTAGGCCAACACCAGCAGATTTTTCAAAGCCTCTACGTTTTAGTATTAAACATCAGTGTGTAACACTGTTTATGCAAAAGACATGAATGATTCCTCAAATCATACAGCTATTTAAAGGATAAAGGAATAGTTTTGCTTCACAAGACATTAATTGATGGACTGGAGTCATGTGAATTACTTATGGATTATTGTGATGTTTTTATCAGCTGTTTGGACTCTCATTCTGACGGCACCCATTCACTGCAGAGGATCCACTGGTGAGCAAGTGATGTAATGCTACATTTCTCCATATCTGTTCTGATAAAGAAACACTCATCTACATCTTGGATGGCCTGCTGAGGGTGAGTAAATTGTTAGCTAATTTACATTTTTTTTGGTGAACCATTCCTTTAAGGAGAAGTGTGATATGACTATTCTAAGGGATCTGATTTAAAAAGGCCAAAAAAAAAATCTGATAAACACACACTAAAAGATAGACCCATCTAGCAAACACAGAAACACACTAGCAACCAAATAGCAAGGCTTTGGCAACCACCCAGAGCACCTACTGTATAGCAGTGATAAGTTTTGCTTAACATACTTGCCCATGCAAATTTTAATTTCTAATTTAATTTCATTTACTTCTGGGATATTGATGATAATGATCCTTGACTGCTTGGACAAGTAATTTTAAACTGAAGTGTTAAATTTAAACTGCTGACTGTACAGACTTACCCAGTACATAGAGCAGGGTCAGCGTGCCCAAATGAAAGCATTAAACAAACAAACACACTCCTTTAATAACACAAAGCCTGCTATAAAGCAATTAGCATGTCAAGAATCTTTGGCCATTCCTGCAAGTTACAGGCCTAAGAACTACTAATAATACTTTACAGTTTAACGTTCATTAACAAATCACAAATATTATAAGATGCTCAACAGATTCAATAGTTCAAGTAGTTCATGCACACTTGAATATGTATTTCAAAAGGCTGCATTTATGATGCCTTTTATACACAATTCAAAAGAACTGTTTTCTATTTTAATATATTTTAAAATGATGGAAAGCTGAAGTTTCAGCATCATTACTCCAGTCTTCATTGCCACATGATCATTCAGAAATCATTCTTATATGATGACTTGCTGCTCAAGCAACATTTCATATTGTTAGACATGATGAAAACAGTTTTTCTTTTTAATATTTTTGTGGAAACAGAATTTCTTTGAAATCATTTGAGTAACATTATAAATGTTTTTACTGTCACTTTTGATCAATTTAATGCATCCTTGCTAACTATATTTTTTTTAAGTAAAAATAAATGCATTTAAATATTATATAAATGTAGTAATGTTTGCTTAATGGTATTAATAAGAGTTATTCTAAGACAGTTTGCACTGTGGCCAGATAAGAGGTCGGGCTGACGTCCCTCACGGTGTCCCAGCTTTGCTCTCATTGTTTGATTTCTTTGTCAAAGCTGAAGCCCAGTTGTCACGGCAGACTATCTTCTGAAGCTTTGTTGAAAAGAGAATGTGCCCAAGCAAAACACTGCCATCAGCAGAGCGGTAAAGCGTAGGCTCTGATCATGAGCTTCTGTGATTGGTGGACGTCGGGTCAAAGCGTGTGTGCTAGAGCTCAGCCTGCATGGCCTTTGTTACTGAAGTCCAGCGTACAGACAACACATACTGTATCACCATGTGATTCAGCAACACGATTCACTGACTCAACTGAGTGGACGTGATCAGAAATGCTTGTGCAATTTTTTTGACATGGTTAAATGGAATTCATTTTTTATTTAATTTGTCTCCTGAGAGATTTAAAAAATTACAAACAAATAGGCATAGACTGATCATCTACACACAACCCCAAAATAAAGATGTAAAACAAATCTGCTACAGGGTCATTCCATGTCAAATCAATAAAATTTCAGAAATTTCCCCTGCTCCATTTTTTTATTTTGTCAATATTTTTTTCTGAAGAAAGATAAACAGGTATAGTGATGAAAGTCAAAATATTAAAAGTCACAGATGTATATTTACTGAGTAAATTGTAACCACTGATTCTTCACACGACGCAGTGCAGAATCAGTGGTTAGTTACAACTCATTATACCACGATACCACAGGAGTATAATTCTAAAATTAATCTGTGTTCCCATTATTTCACCGATGACTACTTCTCCAATCTCAGGTGAGTTCAATGGGGAAGTGAAAATAAGCTGCTTTTAACTGTCACAGTGCAGAGCACAGTTTTGTTGCCATGTTAATATCCACATGAACGAGCTACAGCGTTTGAGAGGGGTTCAAGTTTTCGTGGGATGTCCACGTAGGATGTAGGCGGGCATTATGCAAATGTAAGAATTTGTGACGTGTGAAATTTGCGTAATGGGATTCGAATTTAAAACAGCTCGTTTAAGTGATTCAGAGTCGACTCTTTCTTTTGAGAGACAATAACTTTATTTAGGGCTGCACGATTAATCAGATGCGATTGTCATGCGTATCTTGTCAGTAAAGCCGGTTCTGTGATTAGTAGTAAATCTCCAGCACGTGCTTTCAGATGGAGCAGCGTTTACTACACAGAGCTGTAGTTCACTGACAAGCTACGCAAAATCGCGTTCATAATCGCAGACGATTTAAGCGCGTGATTATGAAATCGAAGAAATCGCTCTGTGATTATAAAAGCTGCTGGCGTAGCTTGTCAGTGAACTACGGCTCTGTGTAGTAAATGCTGCTCCCCCTGAAATCGTGAAAATACCACATTTAATAACATGTTTTTACTCCATACTCACTTCATATCGTCAGTCGAGTGTTTGAAATAAATCCTTCTGTGAGATGATGTGGCTTCTTACACAGAATAAGGCACGCAACATATTTCATAGTATTCTAAGCAGTGATAAAGGCTATGTCGATTAGCATTGCATTATTATATACTTTATTATAATAAAAATTATAATAAGACGAACTCGGATAAACCATATATTGTTGTAGTTGTCTGTTTATTAGTCACGTTGAATTGATGAAAGCAGTTAAATCTTCTGTTTATTCAGCAACCACTATAGGGATTTCCTGGGTTTCTTCTGCAGGGCGTATTTGGAATGTCAGCGCGAGAGCGCCCTCTGGCCTTCGGATGGAGATTTACTGCTGATCACAGAGTCGTGCTTTACTGAAAGACATGCATGGCAATCGCAGCTTCTGCCTAATAGCGATGTATCGCCCTTGCGATTTAATTTTGATGAATCGTGCAGCCCTAACTTTATTTATGATGCACTTTCAGCTTTACAACTTTGCAGACTGTTTAAATTCACATACAGCTACATTACACACTGCATGAAATATAATTTTCAAAAAGCCATAATAGGGGCACTTTATTAAACTTTCCTTTGGCATCCTCATTTTTAAGGCTCTATGGTTCAGTTACAGAGGTATTGGAATCTCAATATGATTCCAGGAGTCCATCGTAAAAAAAATAAAAAGTACATATTTTCAATGGTCAAAAACCAAATATGTGTCACCTTGCATTCAGCTGACACTTTTTTTCTTTTAGAGTCTGCGTAAACCGGAAGTTGCGACCGACTTTACTTCCGTATTGTGACGTACTTCAGAGAGAAACGGAATATTGAATGAGAAAAACCGAGGGCGTGGCTTGTTTTTTCTACTGCGAACTGATTGGATATAGTAAAGTAGGCGTTTCATTCAAACAACACTGACAGTTGAGGGGCGTGTTTAAGGATGTTATGCTCAAACCCAAGCCGTCAAACTGACGTCATCAGAGAAGGTCCGTAATTTTAGAAGGGAGATGCATTTTCAGATTAGGATTAAAGATCACGACGGGAAACTTTTTTTTTTTTTTTTTTTTTTGGGGATTGACTTGCACGGATTAATTGTTCACCACAAAAATAGCAGTGTGCGCTAACAAAATAAATATAGTCAATTTTGATTTCATGAGTACTTTAAAGAGGAAGGTCTGAAGAATGAATAAATGTTGAAACTAGAAATGAATCTTGTTATCTTCTATCAAAACAAGTGCATAGAACATACCTGTCTGAGTGCTAAAAATGCACTGAAATGATCAAGTTTAGTCACATTGCCTTGCTCTCTGTAGTCTATTCATAAGATTCTGTATTTGAAAGTTTTTGTTCATTTTAACAACTTCTGTAACTAATTATTGTAACAATGTTTGAAACAAATCCTACGCCTAAGTGTGGTTGCTTTCCCCATACAGTGTATTAACATCAATAAACCCAAGATTTGCCTCACCTGGATTAACTAGAATTTCTTTTTCTTTTTTTATTGTTATCGCATGTTAAGCATAGTCATAGATCAAGTAATATCTACTGCTAAGGGGCATATTTGGAGGAATCACTGTTAGTAAATCAAACTTTGAAACATTTAAGGTCTCGCACACTTGAAATAATTAACACTGGGTAATGCTAAACCCTAAAAGAATCATATTTTACATTCCACTCTGTTCATACTTTACCCAGAGTTAACAATTAATCCTGGTTATTCATTATGACATGTCACACGATACATTCCTAAACCCTGTGTTACTGTTATTATTTGCATACTTGCAGTGTCAACATTCATGACTATATAAACACAAATTCACATTAGGTTTTCATCCATTGTAAATGGGTAGGATTCTACAATTTGGATATTGAGTCGTATTGGGCTTCCCATATCTCTGGGAATGAACCATACAGGGCTTAAAAAATGAAGATTTCAAAAGAAAAGTTTCTTAGGAACCAGAATCTAAAATCATATTAAAATATTAAAATCTTTAATACTTCTTGAGTTACAGGCATGCAGACTTTTGAGGGGGAAAAAATGAAATTTTTGGCACTCAAACAAATATGTTCTGTGCGATTGTCTTGATATTGAAAAACAAGATATATTTCTACTTTCAATATTATTATTTGTTCTTCATTACTTCATTATTTGTTAACCACTGAAAATGGGTAAAAGTCAACAATTGAGTCACATTGGGCTCTCTATATCTCTGGGATTGAGACATATAGGGCCTTAAAAATGAGGATTACAAGTTAATTAAGAACCACATTCTAAAATCATATTCATATCTTTAATACTTCTTGAGTTACAGGCATGCAAAAAAACTTGAAAAGTGCTTTTTCCCATTTTTCAACGGACTCAGCCACTGGCATATAATGCAACAAAGATAGCTAAAGTCAACAGATTGTCATTGAACTAATAGGCAACCAATCTATGTGTAAAAATAATATAATGATGCCAACATCATTCATTTTTACCCTCCTGTAATTTGGCTCTAAATCTCAGGTGAAATTTTTCATTTCGACCCCCCTCTACAAAAGAGTGGATTACTCAGTAAATATACATCAGTGACATTTAATATTTTGGCTTTCATAACTATATATATGTTTACCTTTTCTCAGAAAAAAATATTGACAAAATCAAAAATTTGAGCCGGGGGGGTCGAGTTTACACAGAATAGGTGTGTGTGTGTGTGTGTATGTGTGTGTGTGTACCTGTTTTTCTATTCTGGTGGGTCTCAGATCCAACAGATCTCTATTGTTCTACAGTAAGAGTATTTTTAATGACCTTTATACTCTGTTTGAACTGTTTTTGTATATGAGTGTACTACAAAATGTCATGGAATGCATTGGTAAAGCACTACAGTGACAAAACAATGATTTAGGTTAGGCTTCACAGGCATTTGGAACTCAATTTAGAGATCCCGGAGTTCATAACATCTTACATCCCACTATATTACTCATAATAAAGAAAATAAATGTTCAAAAGACCTAAACCAATAACTTATAACCGCAACACAAGAAGTGATACTGTAACATGATGGTGTTTTATCAAATGTTTTTTTTTTTTTTTTTTGCAAAAATAAACTCGAAAGTAGCTAAGATTGCATATGAAAAATATGACAGAAAATATACTAAAAAGTCGTGACTCGTGAGTGGTCATAATTGGTAAAAACGTACCTGTCATTAGAGAGTAATAGTTCGGATAGGACAGGCTGGGGAAATCTGGAGTCATGTAATCCACTTTCACACCGTTGTCCACGATTTCTCTAAATCCGGCCAAGTTCTGTAAATCGTTCATGTAATCATAACGGAAGCCATCGATCAGAAACACCAGGAGTTTGCGGTTTGCGTCGCAGCATCGGGACAGAAGGAGAATAAAAACGGCGAGGATGTTCAGCACGGCTCGAGTCATGGTTCTCTGGTACTGAGAGCTGAACTGATCTGACTAATGGAGAGATGAACACAACACACTCATCGCGCTGATTCATGAAAAACTCTCCGTCTCAATGGGCGTGTGTCGGGGAGAGTCCACGGCCACTGCAGGGACAGATAGCCAGCGTTCTGGTCTCCCCTTTAAAATGGTTAATCTTTTTTTTTTTTTTTTTTTAATATTGTGCATTTTTGTTAATATTTTAAATTTTATATATAATTTTAATAGTTCAAAAAAAATTTAATATTTTTTTAAACATTTAAACAATTAACTTAAAGGGGACATCGGATGCAAAATTCACTTTTACATGGTTTTGAACTTAAATGTGTCTTGGCAGTGTGTGTGGACACAAAGACCCTATAATCATAAAATTCCACCCAGTGCTTTTTTTAAATCGCCACAAATCATAAGCACTTTCTCAAATCAAGCCGTTCCAAATTCATAAACTATGCATCATTTGAAAGCTAAAACAATCAAGATTCATCTTCTTGAACTAGTTTTTGAAATCAGTACACCAGAGAGGAAATGGTTAAATGAAATGCTGAAGGACTGGCCATTTAAGTTAGTTCAGCGAATACTTAACCCCTCATGAACAACTATCTAAATCTGTTTATCTTCATTCACTTCCAGTAAAGGAATATTTAAAATGCAGCTGACGTGGGTTTAAGCTCAAAAAGTACCTAAACAGAACCTAAAAGTCCTTTTCAAAACGATGACCCTGCTAATAATTCAGATAAGCAGATACTTGAACTCCTGATGACTACTCTAAATTAGGCCTTTGTAAAGCACCTGTTATTTTTTCCACATTTATTTCATTCCTTCATGTTCTTGGACATATTTACAATCTGTCACGTCGTTTTCACTGTTTAGCAGAGCATCATACCAAAAATACTGGCTGTTGGTTTAAATCTTGGCCCACTATAATGACTTGAAAAGTTTTGGCCTGCGTTTTTTGCTCTACACATTATATGATCTGCACTGACCTCTGGTGTCTGGAAACTGATAAAACAGCCCTTATAGAAACAAACAGAAGTGTCTTTCCTCTGCCACTAGGCTGTGCAATAACCTCAACATTATGCCCTCACTGAAACCTCAGACAGAAACAGTGAATATGAGAAACCAACCCAATATATGGTCCAACAAACCTCTACTGTAGTTCATTCAGGTAGGCTAAAAGTAGTCACATTGAACTTTGAGGAGGTGGATTCAGTAGATAAAGGTGGATTGTGCAATAATGTTCAGAAATGTGTTTGGTACCACACAGTGGTAGAGTGATCATATGTCTCTGTGTTGTTGTTGTCACAGTGACCCAGGTGTGATTAGGGACTGCAAATGAAACCAAAAGACAGACAGACCACTCCCTCATACACACACAAACACACACAGACCAGATCACTTTACACACAACATGAGCATGAGTTGTGTTAAAACCTGCTAAATAACATTGCACAACATTCATATGTTCATATGTACATTCATATGATATTCACATATCTGCACAGTGTTATTCTGGAAGGGGCACTTTGTGTTAAAAACAATTATGGATCATGAATGGTTTGGCTTGATTCCTCAAATCATATCTTAATGTGCTGTTACTCCTCTCAGTGATCAAACTCATGAATTTTGCCTGGTGTAAATCAAATTTAGTTCAACATGTTTCTGCAAAGTTAAAAACTTGAAAAGTGACAATTGGTGATGTGTCTCTGTGGTGAGTGGACCTCGGTCCCTCTAGGGGGGTCTCCGGAAGAAAATTTTGTACATTTTAAAGTTAAATTAATCTATCTGGTGCACTTTGAGTTCAAGAGCTCCAACCCATGTTCAGTGTAGAAATTGAGCAAAGAAAAGATTAGGTGAATTCAATTTGTATACCTCAAATTTAAAGGGAACTTTTTTAGTAGTGATTTAGTGTCTTAGGGCCTAAAACTAACGTATTGCCATACCTGCCAATGACCACTGATTGGAGAAAAATTACCAGCCATAAATATTTTTTTTTTTCCTGGCCATGAAACTGTTTTTGCAAAAATTGGCAGCTGCTACTACTACAACAACTAAACATAAAAAAAAAAAATCTGTACCCATTTGGAACCAGAGTCAATCACTGCATTTTAATCACAATACAAACAAAGATGCTACACACTACACACATGTAGCATGAACACACATGTAGCATGAGTAGTTTTTTATTTATAATAAACTTCAAATTGTATAATTTCAACATTTAAAGCAAAAACAGAATACTCTGGCTTTAGCTTTGTGAAATTATGCTACATAAAACCAGTGTTGCCAACTTAGCGACTTTTCAGACCCCTTTAATGACTTTTTTCCAAAAAAGCGCCTAGCGACAAATCTAGCGACTTCTTGTACAAACCTTATTTAGTTTCTAAGCGCACACCCCTCTCTCTGCATCTGCTCTGTTCAGTGAGCGGCTGAGAGGAGCAGCGCTTTCAGTTAAAAAAGATATTCTGTGGCTTCGAACTCTACTGTACATGCAAATATAGCACAACCATGTCTTTATCTTATGTGTATTTGATTTAATTAGACAACGTCCTGGACTCCTGATTATGAATCAGGATTTTTGTGCAGATTAACATCTAAGGGAGAGCTGGTTATGTAGTCTTAATGGGCCGCGTTTCAGTCACTATTTCATATTCGTCCCATTGTGTGACAACAGAAACAGTAAAATATATCAGTGAAAACCGTTTTATTGACAATTTGGCTGCATTAAAATACAGTTTGGGGGCACAGAGGAAGTTGGCAACACTGCATAAAACATGCCTGCACGAAACAGAAACAGCAGACGGGCTGAATGAGATGCAGATTCACTCTCTGCCAGCAGGTGGGCTTCTGGATCAGCAGCACACAGCGTTTCTTTGGTTACCACTGTAAACAAAGCAGCGCTGCTGAGCATAAAAATACTGTTTAATAAGCATTACACGGAGGTAAGAGGGAAAAATGCCATCGAACTTTTCTGAAGACAGTCAGTTCCCTTCAGAGATACTTAATCATATGAAACCCCACCCGAGTATTTATATTTTTCTTCCAGTATTTCGAGCATTGCGAACAGTCAGCCTGCTGCGCTTGACCTCAGTAGTATTTTCTCTGTGCACGTCTGTTAATTTTAGGCCCTGCTTGCAAGATATAAACCCTTGAGCTTTTATTTTGAAGGAAACTGTAGTTGAGCTTTTATTTTGTTGGAAAACTGCAGCTTCTGTGACAATTGCCCTGCGTCCCAATGTTCATACTATCCACGATAAATAAATTTAAAATCAAAGTTTTATCCAAAGCAACTTACTTATTCAGGCTAATTTTTTATCAGTATGTGTGTTTTGGGAATTGAACCCACAACCTTTGCACTGCTAACGCAGTCAAGGGTCAAGCGATTAGTCAACAGAAGAGACAGACGGCTGCACGTGAGTGTCCTGCATAATACTTGTTTATAGATCTGCTGTTGGAATTATTACTTGCTGCTAGGAAGGAATATTTCGTTTTCTGCCTATTTCTACGTTATATTTTTGTTTGCGTTTGTATTTTTGATTGCACTTTCTGGTAATTATAATAATTGCCCTAAAAGCGTCTGCTAAATGACTAAATGTAAATGTAAATGTAACGCAATTCTCTACCACTGAGCCACAGGATCATTAAAATAATTAGATTAAATAGCATTTGAGATTAGAATAAGTGTATCCCAAAGCATAGTACAGTATGTTGAAAAGAGTATGCCAAAAGTCCCCCGATGGTCTACTTTTTCAGGTCGATTTTTGAAGGGTGGACTGTGCACACTCGGCTAATATTGCCCCACAATCCATTGAGCTTTGGCGAAGAAGGATTCGGTTCATAACACTGATCTATATACTGTAATATAGATCAGTGGTTCAGAACTACAAATGTGAACAACAACAAAAAACTACAAACATGGCGGATGTGTGCGACCGACGGTTAAGTAGAGAAGTTTAGATAAAGGGTTTGAATTACTAATAATAAATAATCAACATTTAACCTGGTAAAACATTTATTTAATGTTATTTGTGTTATATTTCATCTGAAACAACAATGTGAACTTTTTTAAACATCCGTTTGGTCATTAACTTTTAAATGCGTCATTATGCAAAAATCTACGTGCTACTTCTTTTCTTTCTAATACGGTTGGAAGTTAAATTAAATTAAATGTAGAGGATGTTAAAGGGGTCATATGATGCGATTTCAGGTTCTCCTTTCTCTTTGGACTGTTACAAGCTCTTGGTGCATAAAGAAGATCTGTAAAGTTGCAAAGACTAAAGTCTCAAATCCGATATTCTTTATAAAAGTTAAGAGTCAACCACACCTACCTAAAACGGCTCGTTCTAACACGCCCCCACATATCTACATCACGATGTGGAAATATTAGCATAATGCCGCCCAAATGTGCACGCAAAGAAAGAAGTCGTGGTTTCAGGAACAGCAGTAGTGTTGATGCAGTCATGTCAGGGAGACGCTGTGTTTCAGTGCGAAAGCAAAAGCACTTTATTTGGCCTTCCGGAAGTAGATGCATTTAGGAATCATTGGTTAAGATTTATTTACAACAGAACAGCACAACCCAGATGTTCGAATTTGTGCAACGCATTTTATGGAGGCCAGTTTTTTGAACCTAGAAGAGTACAAGGCTGGCTGTGCACAAAGGCTATTTCTAAAAAAAAAAAAAATCAATTCCAACTTTGCTGTGACAATCTGACGCTTCTGAATCAGTGACTGTAAGTATGTTTTGTTATTAGTTTAAGTATTTGCTATTGACTGTTCAAATGCGGAGTTTTGCGCAGCGCAGAGTAACACGTCGTGTGTGTGTGTGTGAGTCACATCACAGGAGAGTGAACTGTCTTTCAGAAATCATAACACGTCAGCTGTCTTAACCGCGGCTTGTGTACTGCATATAAGATGCTTGACAGGCCAGTTTACAGTGACAGGGTGCGTGTTATTATGCGACAGAGCGGTCCATTCTATGCACAGTCAATTTAACAAATTTCTACTTATATATATAGGCCTATATAAACAAATATTTAAATATAATATTAATACAAGACTTTTGTTTTAGTTCAGGGTTGCTCAGATCTTGCCCTGGAGGGCCAATGCGCTGCAGAGATTAGCTCCAACCCTGATCAAACTCACCTACCTGTGATTTTCTAATGATCCTGAAGACATTGATTAGCTTGTTCAGGTGTGTTTGATTAGGGTTAGAGCTATACTCTGCAGAAAAATGGATCTCGTGGGCCAGATTTGAGGACCTCTCTTTTAGGCCCTGTCCACACGAACGCGGTTATTTTTAAAACCGCATCTTTTTCTACGCGGTTTGGCTGTTCATCCACGCGCAAACGCAGCACCAGGTCACTGAAACCGAACATTTTTGAAAACGCCTGCCAGGGTGAAGATTTTCAAAAACTCCGGTTGCAGTGTTATCTTGTAGACAGCGAAACCGGAGTTTTTGGCCTGCGCTGTTATCTCCAAAGCCGCTAGAAGGAAGCAGTATTTGCCTGAAATTTTAAGGGGCATTTGAGAGCATTATGAACATTAGTTATTTTTCTAACCATACAAATACATGGCATGACATCCATTTAGGTCAAATAATTCATAAGGAAGATGAATATAACGTAAAATATCGAAGGTCAGACTACAGATTTAATACCCTTTACAGAGATGTCACCAGCGAGCTGCCTGACCTCTCGGTCCTCCAAGTGTCCGAGCTGTATTAGGACTTTGTCAGCACTACATCCTATTTGGTCACCACAATCGGGATGCTCAGTGAGGATCCATTGGTGGATTCCGCCTTTGGAAAACTTTAGGCTGGGAGTGTGTTGTCATACCAGCAGAAACAACCCGCAACATTATTCACTGTCAAGATGCCCCATCACCGCCACTTCTTGGTTACAACCTTGAACCATCTGTCTGCTTGTTTGTCCATAGCAAACATAGAGTTTTTTGTATATACACAGAAGTGTTGTACAGGAAATGTTTAACACTTTATCAAAGTTACTTATATACAAATAGCCGCGCCGCTCTTATAGGCGGATAGATGTATCACTAATATATTAAATCACTAGATAGGCAAATGAGAGATAGAAATGAAACGAGAGCTAGGTGAAAAAAAATAAGTTGCTTTTCATTATCTAAACAAAAGCAGATTTTGACTAAACAGCCACGGAAAATGACTCCGTTAAGTGCTCAAATATAAAAATACAGTGTGTTCAGTTTTGACAGTAGGCCTACAGACGACACCGCACCAACTCACATCTGACCCAAACAGTGTCTATCATTTATTCTTATGATCACATGATTTTTTATACACCAGAATCTTGTGGAAATCATTAAAGAAGCCCTTGTGAGTGTATAAAGATCCGATAGGCACACACATTATCTGGGACTTTAATACACAGCTGTAGACACAAGACAAGCAGGACATATACTTTACATCTTTACGTTCACATATACAGTAGAAAGAGACACATTAAAAGGTTGAAAAAAATCATAAAACAAGTGCTTTGTCTTGTCATAAAAACCACAAACTAACACATATTCACACAGGATGTCTTACATCATAAGGCCTATAATGTAAAATGGCATGTACTATCCATTGCATAAAGATCTCTAAGGTATAAAAATGTATTCGCTCACAATGAAGGTCTTAAGTTAATATTATGCCATTTATGTACATGCGTTTTTTTTTTCAGAAACAGGCTCGTAAAAAGTCTATCCTTGATTGCGAGCTGCAAAAGTCACTGATTATGGCAGCCAGTGCTCATCCATAAGGTGCTCGGGTGACTAAAGGCAATTAGGCAATGATTCCTCTATATACACATTCATAATGGCTTGCGGATCACTACGGCAGCTTACGGATACACGTCACTGCACTCAAAAACTCCCTGAATTTAAGCTCACGTGTCACTTCCTGTCTGGGAGCATCGAGTTAACCTCCCGTAGGATGCTCCATCCCTGTCCTGTGAGCTCGTAGGTCCTTTATCGAAGGCGATGATAGTGTTCTCGACGAGTCCGGCTGGACATCGTGTGCAGGTTTCATCAGCAAGTCTTGACGGAGGATTTGGACACGTCTGAGGTTTTCATGATGACGCTGGCACGTTTTTCGTGGGCCGATGGCTGGCCGGAGGGTCCGGGGCTGTGGGAGGATGAGGGGAAAGGGGTGTTTAAGAGGCTCCAGTTCGTCTCACTGGTGAAGGGGGCGTGCAAGGCCGAAGGTGCAGGCTCTCGGACAGTGGTTATCTTGAAGTTGGGCTTGTCGGGAGAAATGAAAGTGGACATGCCAGGCAGGGGCATCCTCATCTTTTTGTCTTCATGACCAAATAGCAAGGCCTGAATACGCTGCAGGACGAAACAAAGCCACATCAGTGATTAGGACACTAGAAGAAATTACAAATACTAATATAAAATACAAATTTGTCATGGTTTTCAATCTTTTAGATGCCATGGACCCCCCAAATATAATCATCCTCACATCCTAAAATTTAAAAGGCTCAAATGTATTTTAACTTATTTATTATAATATCAAATGTTTTATTTATTCATTTTAATCTTATAATTATATTTATTTTAATTATTTTTTGTTATTTTAAACTAATTATTTACTTTAATCAAATGTTTTTATTTATTTATTTACGTAGTCATTTTTTATTATTTGTTTTACTTTTTTTTTTATGATTTTCTCTAAACTCCATTCAGACCCCAGTTTGAAAACCTCAGATATTACAGATACTTTTATCCTAAACAGAGTGATTTAGTGTACACTTAGTATAAGTTCAGTCCCTCTCAGTTATTAATTAAATAACAAAAATTTAAAAATAAAATATATCATTTTTTTTAAATAAAAACATAAAAAAAAAAAAAAAAAGATTAATTATTTTATTCGTTTACCTGCATGTCATGTAATCATTAACCAACATCAGAGAATCATGAACATGACAAAAGGTTTGGTAATCTCTGCTGAGGTTAAGTGTCTTCATCAAGAGCACAAAGGTGATAGTTAGCACTTACAATCTGTCAATTTTCTACCCAGGAACTAACAGTATATTTTCATGAATTACAACCTGAGGCCATGTTGTAAAAACACACACTTCCTTGTGTTCATATTATGATAATCCCGAATTGCATGAGAGCGTTATCGCCCACATCGCCAGGGGCCCCACCACACACGGCATACAGTTCACCACCATCAGTTGCATTTCCTCTCTGACACTCAACTTCTTGCCTTTGATTGTTCTCTCTAGAAACTTCTGCATTGCCTGCAAGACGTTTGCTTCACACATCTGAACTGTGTTTGGACTGATAACTGGCACATAAAACAGTCTGTATAACAGCACTTAAAATTAATGATTATTTATAGCTTCTATTGTTTTTACTGACAGAATTATGGCGACAGACTGGCTATCATCAGACTGTAGGATCTGCTGGCTTCCTGACACCATGTGAGGGCAAATTTATCACAAAAACTAAAAAGACAAAAAGCGAGGGCGAGATCTTCAAGTAAAGCTTAAAGAGTCTAACATTAAAGTCAAACATTAAGTTCTTAGATTTAAAGTAAGTACTGACAAAAAAAAAGGTAAAATTTTTATGAGAAAATATTGTTTGTCCAAAAAAATAATAATCTGCTCAATATATATAAAAAATATAAATATATAAAATAAAATATGCCTATATGAAATAAAATAAGATAAAAAATTCATATAAAATAAAATATGCAGTCATTTTGACATTAAACATTAATTTAAAAACAATATCAAAAACACTCATTGCTCTTGGTTGGACAACTTTGGTAACTTTATATATGACAATATACAGTAAATACTAAATTAAGATTTTATTAATTTCTTATTTATTTATTTTTTAATTTAATTTATTATTTATTTGATGCCGCAGTTAAATACATAATAAACTAAGAAAAAAAAGTATGCCTAAAAAGGTACAATTAAATTTAAAGCCTTTAGCCTGTAGATTTGTAAGATCATGAGAAACTTTTCAGGGTGTTAATATCCTGCCATGAAGTGAGTTTTTTGCAGGTGAAGCAAAATTCCCCTCCCTCAAAGCCTAAGTGACATTTTAATCAGCCGTCAAAGCTGACAGCGGTCTTCTGGGTGACAGCAATTCTATGGGTGAATCAGAGATTTAGTCTTTCTATTTCAATATTTTTCTAACAAGCCGCAGCACATTTGCCGGAATCAGTGAGAAGCCTCACGTCACTGCTTGTTCTTTCTCTTTTTTTTCCTCGTCTTGTTTTGCATCAGAGTTCTGAGGTACAGGAACCGAAAACAGGGGGTTGAGAGTGTCTACCATGTAAGATTTACCCAGATGCATGCTGGAGTTTACATGTGTGGATAGATACTGTGCGCTTGTAAACGGGAAGTAGGAAAAGCCACAAACTTTCAAGCATGAAACATTAAATCACAAGACCTGGCATTTTAAAATCAAAATGAGCTTTGTAGCTTTTAGTCCATATCTCTAGCTTTAAACTCATCTTTTAGCAGATAAAGCCATTTAAAATGTATAGTCTTCCTTTTCCAGAAAAAAAAAAAAATTACCAAAATATTGATGACTCATCATGCATATGTATTGAATGTGCTCTAGGATGATAATTACACCATTATTTGACTAGCAAGTAGCAAAGCATGTTCAAATGAATCTCTAAAGTATATTACACTGTACATAATTAATAATCATTTGAATGCAAAACACTGCAATGTTTGTAAATTGATTAATAAAGTATGTTATGCATATTATTATAGGTCAGGCTTAAAATGCACCTTTACAATCAATTTTTTGCAAAGTCTTTCTATCCCATCCTTTGCCTAAATAATGAATTGAAGACCTCTGTTTTAAAGTAAAAATGCTTGTTCATATTCTGTGTGTTTGTAATCAGTTTGTATAATAAGCTAAAGTTGATTTATATAAATCTGGCACACTTGTACAAGACTAAATGCAAAACTTTAAACTCAGGCAATGGCCCCCAAGACTAGTTTACTCAAAACAGCTGTGCCATCACTAGATACAATCACAGGCCGGACCTGTGAAAACATTTGCACAAGCCTGTGAAAACTTGCTCTGCAAAATTCAAAAGGCACAAAAAACCCTTCACAGGCTCTGGATCAGTGCTCTTGGCCCATATTAGGCCAGAAACATACTCTATGCATGCATGCGAAAGCACATTTTTGGCACTGCAAGCATGTGGTGTATATTAACATGCATATTTGTGCCATGTCAGTAACAAACCTCAGTACAAGAGAGCTTCCTTTAAATCGAGCTTCCTTGTCTGAGCCACTAAACTGAATGTTGTTATTCAGGCAGCTGCTATAAAAATGTCAAAACTAACTCGGTCGGCAAGATTCTCCTCTAAGTGTTGCCGTAGTTGACCTGAAAGTCAGCACAGGTGCAAGCATTTATGTGATAGTGCCTCTTGTGGCTGAGAATGCAACACACAATAATTTTAAAGGAATAGTTTTTAAAAATTTGCTGAAAATGTACTCGCCATTAAGCCATCCATGATTTAGATGAGTTTGTTTCTGCATTAGAACAGATTTGGAGAAATGTAGCATTACATCAGTTGCTCACCAATGGATCCTCTGCAGTGAATGGGTGCCGTCAGAATGAGCATCCAAACAGCTGATAAAAGCATCACAATAATCCACATGACTCCAGTTCATCGGTTAACATCTTGTGAAGTGAAAAGATGCATGTTTGTAAGAAACGAATCCATTATTAAGGTTTTTAACTTTAACCCATCGTTACTGAAAATATCCAGAATCGATAATAACGCTTCCTGCAGTGAAAAAGTCCATCCCCTGTTGTCCTCCCACATCAAAATCCACTGACATATTTGTTTAGAACTGTTTTTTTGCTTGATCTGTGCATATTTCTCTCCTGATTCAAAAGAGACAACTTTTTTTACTGGGGAAAGTAATATTATCGAGAGAGGACTCGTATTTTAGACAGAAGCAACAGTTTGAGGTTAAAAACGTCTTAATAATGGATTTATATCTTACAAACGCAACTTTTGCCTTCACAATATGTTAATTGATGGACTGAAGTCATGTGGATTATTGTGATGTTTTTATCAGCTGTTTAAACTCTCATTCTGACGGCACCCATTCACTGCAGAGCATCCATTAGTGAGCCAGTTTCTCCAAATCTGTTCCCCTGAAGAAACAAACTCATCTTGAATGAGGTTGAGTAAATATTCAGCAAATTTTCATTTCTGGGTGAACTATTCTGACGTTGTGAAATCAAATAAAAATTGTCTTTGAATAATATCATAGAGCATATTTTGGCCTTTAGTGTCTGTATGAGGAGCACAATTCTGTTCCTCACACCCCTAAAGCCTTTACAATAAACAGACATGTACACAGAAGGATTCTGGGTATTGCTTGGACACACCCATTAAAAGCACTCTTCTTTGTGGTTAGTTCTTTTGGCCACTATCAGCAACTGTAGTCTGCAATAATTTCACATGTGAACACAATAACAATCTATTCTGTGTTTAAACCTGTCCAGTTTCGCAAAGGGAAAGTTTTGCACATACCTCTTTGGAGTCTTCCTCACTGGCGCTGTCTGTATCGCTCTCTGCTGGAAGAGAAAGCAAAGTGGTCAGACTGATTCATCAGGGACGTCCTGACAGACAGGTTATCGTGTATGGGTGGATGAAAAAATGCAAAGGATCATCAGATAAAATAAATGTTCAACCGATGGCCTTCCTGTACGCCTTGTATATTTAACCATTACAGGTTTAGAAGTTTTAACTGATTACACCGATTAATGACTGAAAGATATCCTCAGGGCCAGTCATTTCTAATGTTTAAGATGAGGAAAAACAGCTTAAATTGCACTGAGAGATGCTTAGATAAAAGACAATATAAATCATAAATACAAGGAAAAGGAAGATAAGTTTGCTTTGGCCGTGTGGCATTGTGTTTGTGTTTACTATGAATAACTCCACACATGAGCAAGACATTTCATGCTGTAAAACCACACGCTTTCAGCCCCAGGGACTTCTGAGAAAAAAACAGATTGTTGATTGGAAAACACGGAACAACAGGACATGAGTCAACATTCCCGTCCGTGTACAAACGCACTGACAAGTGGTACTGTACGGTAAATTTCACGCCACTAAAACAAGTTTTCATAAGCCAAGCCCTACAATTCCAACAATGCCAAGAGTTCATCTCAGTACTCCACACGCAGTCAATGAGCAGACACAAGAGTAGCTACATTAAAATGCAGACAAAACCGCAGATAAGGGATATAATTGAGTATTTTTCGTTTACTCAAGGAAGTCATCTGCATTCCTTACTTGTAACTAGCTCCCAGAGGGATCTGAATAAAAGAGCAACACTTATAGAAGGAAATGCGGAAATGCTCTAGCTGTAATCTTGGATCTAATAGTGTTCATGCTTTTAGCAGCGAGCTGTATGGCTTCTTATTGGAAACGGGCCTCTGCCATAGTTTGCAACAATTAATTAGTGGTGTTTGCTAAGATATAACTAGTCTATTACTCACTTTGCCAGTTATGGATTTGAATAAACTTCTAACCCACAGTATTACACTTTAGCACTTGCTACCAACCACCAATGAATGATTCATGCAATTAGACTGAAGATTTTTGCTTGGAAGCCAAAAAAATGTACGAAAAATTCTCATAGACTTACAACAAAAAAATTATATTATAGAAACCTGCCAGAATACCCTTTGTTTATGCTGGTTTGCGCCGGTAATATTTTTGTTTTTGCGACTGTCGTTTTTAACAATACAGTTGAAGTAACAAGGTAAAATCCAAACGGCAAACCAAATCACATTAAATAATCGCATTCACTTAATTGTTAGTATCATTCTTTCAATTATATCTAATTAAATCGGAAAAACAAAAAACAACTTATTTCATTGTCTTTACAAAACCAAAACGAAAAAAAAAAAAACTATAAAAAAAAGACCTGATATTCATATTTTCGTTTCTGTGCAATGCAATATTCTTATTTAATTATTTCTCTACACAAACAAAATGAAAAACACAAAGATTGGGAATCCGTGTATCATTCGATCATTAGTTTTTTGATTTAATATTGAAAGTAGAAAAATGAGAAAACTGCTTTTTTTTTCCGAAAAACGAAAATTCAGCTTAAATTTTCATTTTTTGTTCCTGGGTGGAAAAATGAATAAAATGCTTAAATATTCGTTTTCTACACGTGGGCGGGAATTAAACGCCCCTTTCTGCTGATTGGTCAGCCGAAGATCAAACTGTGCCATCATCAGGGCTTCTGCAGTATCACGCAGCAGAATAATAGTCCTCAACTGCTGCAGTTGTATGGATTCTTAAGGCATTTATTGCAACTACATTTCATATTTTTTTCATCAAACAAACAGACTTATGAATAGCTGGACACAACTCATACCGGGGCAGAGTCTAGACAGGGCTTTCTTCTGTTTAGATATAAATTCTATTCTTTGCATCAGCTGGGCATGGGATTATTTTACGACAGATATGCATCATAATAAAAAATAAAAAAAATAAAGTCACCATTCTCTGCCATTAAATTGGCAAGTGGGAGCAGGACATTTTTGTGTTATTAAGTAATAAGCCTTTAGAACAACATTAAGGTGAGTAGTCACTCTAGTTCACACAGTTCCAATAAATTGCGATGGGTTAAATAAACTCAATAAGCAGACAGACGACTTTACAGTCTGGAAATGCTTTTGGCTATAGCAAATTATTTCTCGGACCCCCTATCACTTTAAGAACCGCTGGTCTACACAGAAGAAAGCCCTCTGCACAGAAGAAAGCCCCGAGTTGTGTCGAGCTATTCATTAGTCTGTTTGATGAGAAAAATATGAAATTGATAAAATGGTTTATTAATCCGTACAACTTCAGCAGTGGAGGACTATTATTCTGCTGCGTGATACTGCAGAAGAACTGATGACGGCACGGGTTGATCTTCGGCTGACCAATCAGCAGAAAGGGGCGTTTAATACCCGCCCACGTGTAGAAATCGAATATTCAAGCTGTTTATTCATTTTTCCACCCATGAACGGAAAACGAAAATTTAAGCTGAATTCTCGTTTTTCGGGAAAAAAAACGAAAAAGGAGCCATTTTCTCATTTTTCTGCTTTCAATATTAAATAAAAAAACGAATGATCGAATGATACACGGATTATTGGGGTCCGTGTACTTTCTGGTCATTTGATTTTTCTATAAAGATGTAAAGAGAAATCAAAAACGTTCCCCCCCCATCCCCCCCAGTTGTGCTTAAGAAACAGAAAAGCGAAAATAAAGATATATTGTTCAAGTGGAAAAATGAGTTTATGCTTTAATACCTGTTTCGCATGTGTGGGCGGCCCTGAAACTCCTTTCATCTGATTAGTCAACTATCCCCAGTCTTCTGTATAACACGGTATTCCCGGCAACTGCAAACTCAATTCAGGCTCGTTCATGAGAATCCTGCAGCTTTGTCATGTACTCCAGGGGCGCTTACAAAATAATAAGGAAAGGAAAGGACGTGATGTGTGGCCAAGTATAGTGTCCCATACTTGGAATTTGTGCTCTGCATTTAACCCATCCAAGTGCACACACACACACATAAATATATATTTAGTCGTGGCCTAATGGCTGCTGCATGTTATTTACAAATCAGAGATGACTTTATTCATAACCAATAAAACGTCATTTGGTTTTTATGTGATTTAAAACAAGAAAATATGATACCCGGTGGATGCTGATTTTAGCCTACTAATTTTATTCACAAAAGGCCTATTTAAGAGAAACTTAAGATGCAACATGTTCTCACTGGCTATTACAAACAACAGTAGAATTTTTTATAACATTGTTTGTAGTCTATTTCATCATGGGAAAAACCCAAACCCACATTAAAAAAAAAATCTATATTTTTTTCTATATTTATATATATATATATTTTTTTTTTTTCACCGTAATAATTAGTCGATGTCTGGAGACCCATTTATAGGATATACTTTATGAACTGAAGCAAGATCATATTAATGCCTTTACTGTTGCTATTCCAGGTCATTTAAAGGCTAGTTTGGGAAAGTAAAATGTGTACATTTATAAAAAAAAAAGAATGCTATTAGTAAGTTTATGTAAAAATAATGTTATAAATAATAATAAAATAAGAATTAATGATTTATTCGTCAGAAATTATATCCTCTGCTGAATAAGCCACCAGTCACATCGCTTTCTTCTTCTGGGGTAAATTCAAGGCTTATTGCTGAGCGTGAATTATTCCAAATAAATAAATAAACATAAAAAGTAGATGAACTTGTTGAAGCTTTATGCGTTGTTTTCTCGAGGACAAAATAAATAAATAAAAAAAGAACAAAAATTAGGCCTATATGAAAAATCTATAGCTTAACTTTAGATTTTACGTGAAATGACCAGAAGGTACACAGACCAAGAATTATCATCAATTAATTATTTAATTATGATCAATTTGTCATGTCGTGTCCTGTTTTGGTTTCGTTTTCATTCCTTGTTCCCGTTAGCCTTACTTCTGTTTGCTCATTAGTTTTTTATAGTTACTGATTACGTTTACCTGTTCTGTTAAATATCCTCATCAGTTCTCCTTGTTATTTAAGCCCAGTGTTCAGGTTTCGGTGTCATCTTAGTATTGTGGTTGTGTTCTCTATTATTCTCTAATGTATCCCTTGGATTTTGGATTAAAGACTATTCTGACTGTGTCTGTGTCTCTGTGCGCTCGTCTGTAGCAGCCACCCATGACACAATTATCATCCAGGACACAACATGCAGTATTATGATTTAAGGGTATGTAATATAAACTTTTCAACCAGGTTAATTTGTGTACCAGGAGTATTTTCTTTGATGATTCCATGATATTTCTTTGACATATGAAACTGTTATTCTTGGTTTTACATAATATATTATCAGAGAGAAGAGTCTGATGTTTTTTTAATTTAATCAATCTCATTTCACAAAGCACAAACGACTATTTGGGGTGAATCTGGAGTATGTGGGGGGCTGAGTGACCTCAGAATGACCTATAAATATTATTTTAATATCTAAAAAAACCAAAGCAGCACAAATTAAAAAAATTTACGCCACAAACGGAGCACAAACGATTGAGACTATTTTGCCGATGTTTTACGTTGGGTGGGGGACCAACTTCACAGAGGTGTTTCAGCACCTATTGGTGACAAAAGGTTATCAGCAGTTATAGATTGGGAACAGGTTGTTTGAACTTTGTTAACATACAGACCATAGCTGTTACAACAGGACCTAAAACTGTAATGGGACAAAAGGTTTAGGATGTTCAGGGCTCTTTCTGACTCTGATGAACAAAAGCATGTACTTTGCCACTGCTACCCTGCAATACACTTACTTCTTCATTGAGATTTGCAGCATGCTCGTCATTTTGTCTTACAAACCACATAACAACATCCTGGCCAGTGTTGTTATTGTTAACTATTAAAATTGCTTTTGGTAATTGAAATAAATCTCAAATAAAATAAAATACAAAGATTAAATATTAGATACTAATGGAATATCTAAATGTTTCCTTGGCAAATAACTAAAATAAAACGTTTAAGTGAAGTACTAAAATTAC